CAAATTCCCATACCTGTGCTAGGTATAAGTCTTTTTGTCTGATTATTTCATTTAATTTTAATTTCCATTTTCACTGGTGAGGTTGGGCGTCTGTTCATGTTTTTTTGTCATTTATATTTCTTTTGTGAATTGCGTTTTCCTGTCTTTGTGCATTTTTCTCTTAGAGTTTGTCTTTTTAAAATTGATATGCAGGTGTTCTCTATAATATAGATATTCTGTCACTATATGCAAATGATCTTCCAATTTATTTATTTATTATTATTATTTTTTTAGACAGAGTTTCGCTCTTGTCACCAGGCTGGAGTGCAGTGGTGCGATCTTGGCTCACTGTAACCTCCGCCTCCCAAGTTCAAGCGATTCTCCTGCCTCAGCCTACCGAATAGCTGGGATTACAGGCACCCTGCCACCACGCCCAGCTAATTTTTGTATTCTTAGTAGAGACGGGGTTTCGCCATGTTGGCCAGGCTGGCCTCAAACTCCTGACCTCAGGTGATCTGCCCGCCTCGGCCTCCCAAAGCGCCAGGGTTACAGGCCTGAGCCACCGCACCGGGCCCAATGTATTTCTTTTAACTTAGTTTATGGTGCCTTTAGCTGTACAAAAGTTACTAATTTTTAGTCAAATCTCCCAGTCTTTTCCTTTAGGGCTTCTTACATGTCCTGATCCAAGATTATTTTTAAAAATTCTCTATTTTCTCCTATTGTATTAATAGTTTACTTTACAATTAGATTTTTAATCCATCTGAACTTTTTCATATAGTATGAGGTATCCGTTTTTAAAAGATGGATAGCCAGTTGTGCCGTTATGTCTTTTCTACTCACCTGAAATGCCGCCATTACCATACTTTCAATTTTCATGTGCATGTGCGTCTGTTTTCAAACTTGGAGATTCTCTTCCACTGGTATGTGTCTATTCTTGTGCCAGTGGTTTAACTGCTATTGCTTTATAGTATATTTTGATATCTTCTTTTCAAAAAGATACTCTTGTGTATTCTTTTTTTCATCTTGTGTATTCTCGTCCATTTTCCAGAAGACCACAGAATCAACTTTAAGTTTCATTTCATAAAGTCAGATTAGTGAGAGCTGATTTTCTGTCTATCATGTTCATTCAGAAACATAGTCTCTCTCTCCATTTAGGGGCACTTGTTTTATATTTTCTTTCTAACACATATTTTGTTGGGTTTATTGTACCTTTTTTTTTTTAACTTGTATTTCAGATTCAGGGGGTACACGCTCAGGTTTGTTATCTGAGTATATTATGTGATACTGAGGTTTGGCGTATGAATGATGCCATTACCCAGGTACTGGGCATAGTACCCAATAGTTAGTTTTTCAACCCTTGCCCTTGTCCCTCTCTCCTCCCTCTAGTAGTCCCCAGTTTCTATTACTGCCATCTCCATGTCCATGAGAACCCAGTGTTTAGCTCCCACTTATAAGTGAGAGCATGTTGTATTTGGTTTTCTGTTCCTGCCATATCCTTATTGCCACAAAGGGCATTATTTCATTCTTTATTATGGCTACAGGGTATTCCATGTAGCAGGGCATTCCACTCCAAACCACATTTTCTTTATCCAGTCCACTGTTGATGGACACCTAGGTTGATTCCTTGTCTTTGCTATTATGAATACTGCTGTGGTGAACATACCAGTGCATGTGTCTTTTTGGTGGAATGATTTGTTTCCTTTTGAATATATACCCAGTAATGGTGTTGTTGGGTCAAATAGTAGTTCCATTTTATGTTCTTTGAGAAATTTCCAAACTGCTTTCCCCAGTGGCTGAGCTAATTTACATTCCCACCAACAGTGTGTGAACGTTCCCTTTTCTCCACAGTCTCACTAGCATCTATTGTTTTTTGACTCTTTAATAATAGCCATCCTGACTGATGTGAGATGGTATCTCATTGTGGTTTTTATTTTAGCTTTTAATAACTATTTAAAGTCTGCTGTTTTGATAGGTGAAAATGATATATCACTTAATTTGCACTTTGGTTCTGGAGAAGTTAAATATTTTTAAACTGTACTTATTAACTACTTATATTCTGAGAATTATCTGATTATATCCTTGATCTGTTTTTCCATTTGGGTCTTAATCTTGTATGAGCTTATCATGTCATAACGATACTAATTCTTTGTCAGAGGTACAGCAGAAGCAGATATTTTTCCAGTTTTATTTTATTTTATTTTATTTTATTTTATTTTATTTTATTTATTTTTGAGACAGAGTCTTGCTTTGTCACCCAGGCTGGAGTACAGTGGCATGATCTCGGCTCACTGCAACCTCTGCCTCCTGAGTTCAAGTGATTCTCCTGCCTCAGCCTCCCTAGTAGCTGGGTTAACAGGCACACGACACCATACCCAGCTAATTTTTTTTTGGAGTTTTAGTAGAGATGGGTTTTCACCTTGTTGGCCAGGCTGGTCTCGAACTCCTGATCTCAAGTGATCCAACCACCTTGGCCACCATGCCCGGCCTTTTCCAGTTTATTGTCTGCCTTTTAATTTGCCACTTTTTTTTTTTTTTTTTTTGAGACGGAGTCTCACTTTGTCACCCAGGCTGGAGTGCAGTGGTGTGCTCTTGGCTCACTGCAAGCTCCAGCTCCCGGGTTCATGCCATTTTCCGTCTCTGTCTCCCGAGTAGCTGGGATTACTGGCATGCGCCGCCATGCCCAGCTAGTTTTGTATTTTTAGTAGATACAGGTTTCTCCATGTTAGTCAGGAGGGTGTCGAACTCCCGATCTCAGGTGATCTGCCCACCTTGGCCTCCCAAAGTGCTGGGATTACAGGCGTGAGCCACCGCACCCGGCCCAAATTTACCACTTTTTAATTTATACTTTTCAGAAGTTCAAAAGTCTAATATAGTTAAATATATGAATTTTTCGTGACTTTTACTATTGATGTTAAAGTTGTTAAAAATTTTTGTGGAATGATTTCATATTTAGAACAAATATGCCATGTGGGAAACTAATCATGTTGGCTTGATAATGGAATCAGTTCTTAAGTAATTTTTATAGATGTTTAATAATGTTATTTATTAAACATCTTATTTATTAATGTTATTTGTTAAACAACTATTAAATGTTATTTAATAGTGTTATGTATGGTGTTAGTGATGCTTATTTTCATAATAGATAACTGAATATATTATATGTGTATACATATGTATAAAACTGAATGTTTTATATATACATACACATAGATGTCTTAGAATGATTGAAACGGTTACGATTTTTCATTTTGAGAAATTTTAATATTTGGCAAGTGCAAGTAATTCTTTTTTGAGATGGAGTCTTGCTTTGTCACCCGGGCTGGACGTGCAGTGGCACAATCTTGGCTCAGTGCAACCTCTGCCTCCCGGGTTCAAGTGATTCTTCTGCCTCAGCCTCCCAATTAGCTGGGACTACAGGCGCGCACCACCATGCCCAGCTGATTTTTTGTATTTTTAGTAGAGATGGGGTTTCACCATATTGGCCAGGCTGGTCTTGAACTCCTGACCTCGTGATCTGTCCACCTCGGTCTCCCAAAGTGCTGGGATTACAGGTGTGAGCCACCGTGTCCAGCCAAGTGCAAGTGATTCTGACAGCTTTTAGTGAAATTCCCTGTATTAAAGATTGTCAATTTGAATATTTAAATTAAGTAGTATATTCTGACATGAAATTTGCTATTGTGTTAAGGAGAGAAAACATCTTTAATTGACTTCTCTGTCTTCACAGGAAGTTATTCACATGAATTTATGTTGTTGCCTATAAAACACTATCCAATAACTTTTACCTTTTCCCCTTAACTCCCTCAGGTCCTACCACAGCTCTGTGAAGTTGCACTCATGTATATTGTTATTAACTGTTTTGCAAACAACCTAATACTTGTAGTTCCCTTAGTTTATATATATTCAGGTATACCAACTGAATTGCCCTTTTCTTATAATAAGTGTACTTTCGTTTCTAATAAACAACCTTCGAAGTAGTAGGAAAGATATTAACATCTGAGCATAGGAGTTGATATGGTTTCTCATTGAGAAATTAGTCTCTAGAATTATAATCAGTAACATGGTAAAGGAAAAAATGGTGAAGATATTAGAGCCGTACCTAAAACTTTCCATAGTTTGACCTTATGGCAAGTGAACATTTGGTTTTTATTACCCTTTTAAACACTAAATATTAATACATTATCTTATACAGAGGCCCTCAATAAATAAAATATTTATAGTAAACTACTGATGAAACACCTTTCATTATGGTAGAAATTCTTTTCAGATTACTGAGAAATGCAGTTCTCAAATTTCTGCGTAAGTTTTGCTTAATTCATTAAAGCATATGCAACTAACTAGCAACATACTTCTTTTACTGCTTGTATTAGAAATTCTTTTTGTACTTAATATTTGTTTAATTACTTGATCCATTAGTTCAATTATAAATGACTTCCTTGTTGAATTTATTCATTCAGTTTTCATGATAGTTTGAAGAGTAATCTAGACCAATGTTATCCAATAGAACTTTTTTTGTGACAGTGACATTGTATATGTGCTGTCTAATACAGTTGCAACTAGCCGCATGTAGCTAATAAGCTCTTGCAGTGCAGTCAGTGTGACTATGAGACTGAAGTTTTAATTGTATTTAATTATAACTGACTTAATTTTTTTAAGCCACATGTTGCTAGTGGCTACCACATTGGATAGTACAAATATATCTACTTTATTTTCATTTAGTTTTCCAAGTTACAATAAGTGTATTTTCTAGGTAAGTGTTCTACTTTTACAAACTCTTTGAAACCTATGGTTAAAAAAAAAAAAAATACAAAAGCAAACTCTAAAAATTAATTTACTAAACTATTTGTATTTGATTTTTATTGCATTTATCTGAAACATTGGGTTGCTATATTGAGCATACCACAGAGCATTTCTCCTCATTTCTGGAGACAGTTTCATTCTAAGGAGAAACATATGTCCTGAAGACCCATGAACTAATACTTATTTTGAGATTGGTCCATAAAAGGTTTTTGTTCATTTTTAAGCAGCTGATTTAGAGGAAAGTTTTAATGAACACGAACTGGAGCCCTCATCACCTAAAAGTAAAAAGAAAAGTCGCAAAGGAAGGCCAAGAAAAACTAATTTTAAAGGACTGTCAGAAGATACCAGGTCCACATCCTCCCATGGAACAGACGAAATGGAAAGTAGTTCCTATGTAAGTAAAAAAAACTGTTGGATTCTTACTTTTTGTTGCACCATGAATATTTCATTTAAACTATCTATAGGTGAAGTTCATCATTTGAAATGTTAAATAAGCTTGAAATACTGATAGCATATTTTCATGATTTTGTTTTAAGTTTTTTTTTTCTTTTACATTTGCAGAGAGATAGGTCTCCACACAGAAGCAGCCCTAGTGACACCAGGCCTAAATGTGGATTTTGCCATGTAGGGGAGGAAGAAAATGAAGCACGAGGAAAACTGCATATATTTAATGCCAAGAAGGCAGCTGCCCATTATAAGTGCATGGTAACCATGGTTCTTTTAAGCCCAATTTTGTTTGTTTGTTTGTTTTTCTTTGTTTCCCCTGTGATCTAAAAGCCCAAATGATTTTTTAAAAATCATTTAGCTAGTAACCAAAAAATTTCCCCCACAAGTATTAGTATTTTAGAGTTATGAATAGTATATCTTGTAATCCCAAATCTTAATAAAATTTAGATTTTGTTAAATTATAGCCTTTATGTTTTAGTAGGATTTGAAGTAATTCTAATTATAGTTACTGTAGTTAGGATAATGTGTAATTAATTATTTCATAACTGTAAAAATTTTGTCTTTATAAGCATGTCATGAAATATATTTTAGACTTTTACTATAACCTAATAATTATCTCTGTTGTACTTAACACACTGTATTACAGTTATTCATTTATGAACTTATCTTCCCTAACAGACTCTTAAATTCCTTGAAGATAAGAATAAGTTTTTATCTTGACATCCTTAGATCCATGCCTGACTTACAGTATACATAAATATCTTTGACTTAGAGTGTATTGAATGACTCATCTCATTGATAAGGTTTTTAAAATTACATTATTTATGTCACAGGTTCTTAACCAGAGTACATATCATATTTACCTGGTGAGCTTTTTCCAAAATATGTGCATCTAGGAACCCTGTGGAATACATCTCATATGTATCTAGTTTGAAAAACAAAATCCCCCAGGTGATTCTGATCTGCATCTATGGTTGAAATTTGCCAATTTAAACTGTTTTTTAAAACTTTGTGGAAATGTAAAATAGTTGAGAATAGAGTGACATTGTTGAAATTTTCATTGCTTGAAGCGATTTAATCTTGGCTTCACACTGGCAATCTTCATTTTTATTTCAATGTCCATAATTTTGGCTGTATTTTAATCAGACATGTAAATATATTAAAAATATTTGAGCAGATACTTGATTATTAAGGAAAGATTATCTTTCTTCGGAAATTAAATATAACACACTTGTTATCACATTTAATGTTTTTCTCATAAGGATTCTGAATGTTAATGTTCCTGCATTTTTCTTCTCTAGTTGTTTTCTTCTGGCACAGTCCAGCTCACAACAACATCAAGAGCAGAATTTGGAGACTTTGATATTAAAACTGTACTTCAGGAGATTAAGCGAGGAAAAAGAATGGTCTGTAGTTTTTATATTTGTTATGCAACATTACACTTGACTTGCTGCTTTAAATTTAGAGTACATCCCAAATTTATCCAGTCATCAGAAAATTTAATATAAAGTAGTTCATATGTTAAAGCAAAGTATATTGACTTATTTGTAATATAATAAAGGATGTTGATGTTACTGAAACTTATTTCTCTTTCTATGTAACTTCATTACTTAAGAGGATTATACTGAGATTTATATACATTTCAAGGCATTTGCAAGCCTTTAACAATAAAATAAATGAAGATATGAATGTGACAAACTTTATTAAGTTTAAAATGTTACATTGTGTAAGCTTGCTTAAAGGAAATTTTTTTCAGGGCTTTCTTTTTAAAGTACACATACACAGGACTGCCTCTTAAAATGTTTGTCATAGCGTTAAAAGTTTTTTTAAATAAAATAATATAAAATACACCTTAGTCTCATGTTGTTAAACATACTGAATTACCAACAAGTAGCTCTAAGAAATATTGGCATCTTTATTGATCACTTACTCCTTTATAGCTTATGAATGCTATAATATGTCAGTTGTCTCTAGAAATTAATTTTTAAATTTTTTGTTGGGAAATTTTCAAACATACCACAATTGGAAAGCCTAGTAACACGTATCTATCCATCATCTTGCTTCATCAATTACTAAAATTTGTGGCACTTGTTTCATATAGGCCTTCTTTGTTGTTGTTGTTTTGAGACAGAGTCTCACTCTGTCGCGCAGGCTGGGGTGCGGTGGCGCGATCTTGGCTCACTGTAACCTCTGCCTCCCGGGTTCAGGTGATTCCCGTGCTTCAGCTTCCCAAGTAGCTGGGATTACAAACATGCACCACCACACCTGGATAATTTTTGTATTTTTAGTAGAGACAGGGTTTCATTATGTTGGCCAGGCTTCTCATGAACTCCTGACCTCATGCAATCCACCCGCCTCGGCTTCCCAAAGTGCTGGGATTACAGGCGTGAGCATCCAGCTGAAAAGGAAACTTTTATAACAGAGCCTGTGGTACTGAAAAAAGGAAAAACCACTTTATTGTATTATTCAGAGCAGTGTTGTATAATACAGCTAAAGTTCAAATAGGTGACTAAGATAGCAATTCAATTATCTTGCCAACTTATTGTTTACCTCTGTACCATTGAGGGTTGGGGTAAACACTAACCTAGAATTTCCCCCAAGTGTGCTCTAAAGGAAGTTAGTTCATCAAGATGTTCCCCCACCCCTCCAGAGATAAAAGGGCATCTAGATTTCAATAAACTTGAAAACTGTTTACTCTGTGCCCCCACCCTTGGAGAAAAGGCTGTGAGAAGTCCTGCAATAAAGTTATCTGCTTAACCTATCCTTTCTCAAACTTATTTGACTTGAAACCCCTTTTTCAACAGTTACCTTTTAATCTCCGAACATTCTTCAGGCAAGGCTTATCTAGACCAAACTGAGAAGTCTTGAAAAGATTTCAGCCCCTTTAGTCGCCCTCTGCACTTTTGTCTACTGGTAGTGATTCCTCTGTGGGGGAACTGCTTTTCTGGTTTCTTATTCTTTCCCCTAATCATAATAGGAAAGGATCTGATCTTAGGGAGGGAAAGAAACCAACCACTAAAATATACAACATCATTTTTTTGTGTATTTGGCAGTATTGAGGAGAGTCTTATCTACATTTAGATGTCAGACCTGGGATGGTCAGTAGTTTTTCTAACAAGCCGGCAGTTTATAAATGTTAAATAATAGAAACATCAGGGGATGGCAATATTAGAGGGCTTATCAAAGTATGGTTTCAGTTGCAGCGTTATTTCAGTTATATGCTATGTGATAATTTCAGTGTATTCTTTTTCAATAGAAAATGGCTGCTGTTTTCTTGAAATACTGCTTACAATTATTTCTCTTTCCTTATACAGAAATGTACACTTTGCAGTCAGCCTGGTGCTACTATTGGATGTGAAATAAAAGCCTGTGTTAAGACTTACCATTACCACTGTGGAGTACAAGACAAAGCTAAATACATTGAAAATATGTCACGAGGAATTTACAAGTAAGAAAACAACAATTGTCTATTTCCCTAAACATGTTAGTAACTGTCCTTAAATAGATGACATTAGTTTATTACTCAATCTCTATTCTTAGGTGATATTTAGTTAAGTATAGAATAGAATACTGAGCACATTGTGTAAGGAATGAGTACTACAATTGGCATTTTCCTCTGAGTACATATCCCTGGATTAGCATTCATCCATCCAATGTTAGTTATGCTTCCTGTGTGCCAGCCATTGTGCTTGAAGCTGAGCATATAACAGTGATCAAAACTACATACACTGGGCCGGGTGCGGTGGCTCACATCTGTAATCCCAGCACTTTGGGAGGCCAAGGCGGGTGGATCACCTGAGGTCAGGAGTTCGAGACCAGCCTGACCAACATGGTGAAACCCTGTCTCTACTAAAATACAAAAATTACCCAGGTGTGGTGGCAGGCACCTGTAATCCCAGCTACTCAGGAGGCTGAGGCAGGAGAATCGCTTGAACCCAGGAGGGAGAGGTTGCAGTGAGCCAAGATTGTGCCATTGTACTCCAGCCTGGGCAACAAGAAGCTTACAATCTATTGGGAGAGACCTATTATTTAAGTGGCCAAATATGCAATTACAACATAGCAGCATAAGTGTTCCAGAGAAGTTACAAAGTGTTATGAGAGCATGTAAGAAGGAAGAGGTAACCTAGTCTGTAGTGGGGAGTCTTTAAGAATTTTCTGAAGGAAATAGTGCTCAGCTTTAAGCTGAGATATTAAGGACAAAGGTGAGCCTTGGTTGGGAGAGGTATTCTGGGCAGAGAGAACACTATGCAAGTGCCCTGGGTGAGACACAAGCAGAGGTGGAAATGGGGAGATGTGTTAGGAGGCTAGTGCTGGTGGTCCAGGTGAGAATTATTGGTAGCTTAGAATAGGATGTGATAGATAGAAGGCAAAAGGTTCTCTTGAGAAGATGGTGAAAAAATAAAGTTTGAAGATTTGGGTTTGGGGGTCACCCTCTTTTTTATGGGTCTTCCACTTACCTGTGCTGCCTTGGGCTAGGTGGTGTTAATGTAATGGTTCCATTTGTTTAATCAACTGGAGTATAAGTTGGCAGGGACTCCTGAAGTTTTTATTTGCTGTCCAGAGTTGTAAAGCACTTCCTTACTCTCACATGCCTAGAATGCAATAAACCAATAACTTCTGGGTCTAGTATTCTGTGTAAAAGACAATGTGCACAAGCAGTCACCAAGCCATTTGGGTGCTTACATAAGGTGCTATGCTATATAATAAAATTTGCCAAATTCTGTTTAATAATCAAGGCACAAATGTTTTCAAGGGAGTTCTATAAAACCTTTAAGGAACAAATAATCCCAATGTTATTTAAGAGATCCAGCACATAGCAAGAGATGGAAAACTTACTGCTTCATTCTGTAAAGCTTACATAACTGTGGTACCAAACCTAACAAAGATACGTTAAAAGACAAACAAACCAACTGTAGACCAGTCTCCCTTTTTTTTGCTTTGAGACAGGATCTGACTCTGTTGTCCAGGCTGGAGTGCAGTAGTGTGATCATGACTCACTACAGCCTTGACCTCCTGGCCTCACGTGATCCTCCCACCTCAGCCTCCCAAGCAGCTGGGACTATAGCCAAGCTAATTTTTTTAACTTTTTTTTTTTTTTTTGAGGAGGGGTCTTGTTATGTTGCCCAGACTGGTCTCAAAGTCCTGGGCTCAAGTGATCTCCCTGCCTCAGTCTCCCAAAGTGCTAGGATTACAGGCATGAGCCTTGCCCAGCCACAATCTCACTTTTATAAATATACAAAAATTTTAAATAAAATATTAGTAAATCAAATCCAGGTCTGTATTCTAAGAATTGAAAGACTGTTCAGGCTGGGCACAGTGGCTCACACTTATAATCTCAACACTTTGGGAGGCTTAGGTGAGAGGATTGCTTGAGGCCAGGAGTTCCAGATCAGTGCAGGCAACAAAGCGAGACTCTCGTCTCTATATAATTTTAAAAATAGAAAGAAAAAAGACTGTTCAAAATTAGGAAATATATTAATATAATTTGTTAGTAGAGTAAATAAAAATCTTATCACCTTCCTTATAGATGGTGAAAAGACATTTGATAACATTCAACATCAGTTTCTGAATTTTAAAGTAACAAGTGCTCTTGGTAAGCTAGGAATCTTAATAGGTGTTTATGAGAAAAACAACAACAAATAGCTTATTTGTTGTTAAAGTAAAGGAGCAATGGTTCTTAACCAGGAGTGAGCCTCAGAATCACTGTGGGGTGGATAAGACCCTCTTTTAAAATGTTCATGCCTGAGCCCTACCCGTGGAGATTTAAATTTAGTAGGTCTGGGTTGGGGCCCAAACCATGCACTTTATGACTCCCCAAGTGATTCTTATGTTCATCTCTAATTGAAAACCATTAGACTATACTTTAATTCAGATTAGGAAGAAGACAAAGATGCCAACTACTAGCATGACTTTTAACATTCTTCTAGAGGGTTAAGCTGATGCAAGACAAAAAGAAAGAGGCCCAGTGCAGTGGCTCATGTCTATAATCCCACACTTGGGGAGGCCGAAGCAAGAGGATTGCTTGAGGCCAGGAATTCGAGACCAACCTGGGCAACACAGTAAGACCCATCTCTACACAACATTTAAAAATTAGCCACGCAAAGTGGCACACGCCTGTAGCCCCAGCTACACAGGAGGCCCACACTGGAGAATCGCTTGAGCCCTGGAAGTAGAAACCAGCCTGGGCAACATAGTGAGACCCTGTCTCAACTTAAAAAATAAGGCCAGGCACAGTGGCTCACGCCTGTAATCCCAACACTTTGGGAGGCTGAGGCTGGCAGATCACGAGGTCAGGAGTTTGAGACCGGCCTCTAGATTGCCCCACTGCACTCCAGCCTGGGTAACAGAGCGAAACTCCATCTCAAATAAAAATAAAAATAAAAATAAATAAAAGTGTGTAATAAAATGGTCAATACTTGTTACTTATATCATTGTCTACCAAGAAAATTCAAAGGAATCAACTTTGAATTTATTAAAATTAGTAAGAGCTCAGTAAGGTTGCTGAATGTGAGATGACTTTTAAAAAGCAATTCCAGTATTAACTAGTTAGAAAATGTAAACGAAAATCGTCTGCCATACCCCGCCAAACACACATACACTAAAGATGAATTTTTTCCATTTAAAAAAAGCACACACAGCTGCATCTAAGAGAGCAAGTCATGTTTGAAAATAAAATATTTCTTTTCTCTTTAAAAAAAAAAAAGCACACATACAAAGCTTTGTTTTGGGGTGTGGGTGGGGAGACAGGGTCTCACTCTGTTACCCAGGCTGGAATGCCACTGCATGATCATGGCTCACTGCAGCCTCGACCTCCTGGGCTCAGGTGATCCTCCCACCTCAGCCTCCCGAGTAGCTGGGACTGCAGGTACACGTGACCATGCCTGGCTAATTTTTGCTATTTTTTGTAGAGACAAGGTTTCACCATGTTGTCCAGGCTGGTCTCAAACTCCTGGACACAAGTGATCCACCCACCTGCGCCTCCCAAAGTGCTGGGATTACAGCTGTGAGCCACCATACCTGGCCAAAAATTGCATTTTACAAAGGACTGAAATGAGTGGTGAAATGTATTATGTTCCTTGATAGAAAACTCAGCTTTGAAAGACACCTATTCTCACCAAATGTATAAATTTGGTATAATTTTGATCAAATCCAAATTTTTTGACAGTTTTATTTGAAAGGCTAAATGTGATATAATTTTCACTTGTAATGGTTGTGTTTACTTTATATAACAGAAAAAAAAAATAGCAGCTTAACAAGAGAGAGGGTTGCTTTCTCACCTAAAAGACATGCAGAGAAAAGCAATCCAGATGTGGTAGGCAATTTTTCAGTGTCGTCAAAGACCCACATCACCATCCTTCTGCTCACCCCTCCTTAAGGTCTCCTTCCACATATATGTGTGTATGTTTTTGTGTACGTAGAAAAATCTCTAGAAACGTATTCAACAAGCTTAATGGTTATATTACTTCTCATTAGTTACATAGGGATGGAGGAGAAGAGGCAAGTTTATATTCTCCATGATAGGATTCTGTGGTTGTTTGAATATCTTCATGAGCAGTATATTATTATTAAAGTAGCCATTAACATTTTAAAATAACAGGCTGATTTTAAATATCCAAAATCAGATTATATGGAGAACTATTATATTTAAAATGTAACTTTTAGATGCTTTTATTATAATAGTTTTAAATGGAAAATATTTCCATTTTCATTTTGGAAGAAAAATGGAAATATAGATGAGAAAAAATACTTAATGTCAACTTTAATTCTACCATGCAGAGGTAATAATTTTAAATCTTTTGGAATGTTTTCTCTTAGACGTTTATGTGATTATGTGCATGTATTTATAAAAACAAGATTTTCTGTTGCTCTGCCTATGGGGCAGCCATCCTTTTATTCCTTTGCTTTCTTAAAAAAAAAAAAAAAAAGATTTTCTTATCTATGCCGTTTTATAATCTCTTTTCCACTTATCTGAGACATTTTTGTGTGACATTAATCAATTTTACATCTTGGTTTTTTTTGATTTTGGGGTTTTTTTTTGTTTGTTTTTTTTTTTTTTTTTTTTTTTTGAGACAGTCTTACTCTGTCACCTAGGCCGGAGTGCAATGGTGCGATTACAACCCATTGCAGCCTCAACCTCCCAGGCTCAGGTGGTCCTCTCACCTCAGCCTCCCAAGTAGCTGGGACCTCAAGGGCACTCCATTATACCCGGCTGATTTTTTTTTGTACAGACGAGATTTCACCATGTTGCCCAGTCTAGTCTCAAACTCCTGGGCTCAAGCGATCCACCCGCCCCAGCCTCCCAAGATGCTGGGATTACAGCATGAGCCATTGTGCCCAGCCTACATCTATTTTAGTGATTGCATGGTATTCCATTATATAGGTATATCAGTTTATTCTATTGGTTTCTTTTTCAGACATCTAGGTTGTTTTTGCTTTTTAGCTATTAGACAACTGTATTTCAGTGACCCTCTCAAAACAAAAATATTTGTACTTGGATCCATAATGATTTGAATTGCTCTTTTATTTTTTTCCTATTGAGATTTGTTTCTGCAATCCACTTGTAATGTAGATTCCAGATAGAGACCATTGAGTTCAAATGAGAACCCATATAGGTGGGTAGTTTGGCAAGAGAAGAAGGGACAAATAGGAGGAAATACAGGGAAGAATATTTCTGAATGAAATGGCTTCCCTGGCTGGGTGCGGTGCCTCACGCCTGTAATCCCAGCACTTTGGGAGGCCAAGGCAGGCAGATCACGAGGTCAGGAGATCGAGACCATCCTGGCTGACACGGTGAAACCCTGTCTCTACTAAAACTTCAAAAAATTTGCCAGGCACAGTGGTGGGCGCCTGTAGTCCCCAGCTACTCGGGAGGCTGAGGCAGGCGGAGCTTGCAGTGAGCCGAGATCATGCCATTGCACTCCAGCCTGGGGCGACAGAACGAGACTCCGTCTCAAAAAAAAAAAAAAAAAAAAAAGAAATGGCTTCCCTGTCTCCTGACTATGGCTTTTCTTCCTTACCAGCCCTTTCTGGGTCCTGACTGTATTCCTATTCGAAAGACGAGGGAGGGGTACATAATAATTGTTATTTATGTTTATCCTGTTTTATTGTATTTATTGTATTTTTAACCATTTAAATATGGATTCTTTTAAAATGTCAGCCTCCCACCATAAAAAATGGAGTTCTGGCCGGGCGCGGTGGCTCATGCCTGTAATCCCAGCACTTTGGGAGGCCGAGGTGGGTGGATCATGAGGTCAGGAGATCGAGACCATCCTGGCTAACACGGTGAAACCCCATCTCTACTAAAAATACAAAAAGTTAGCCAGGCGTGGTGGTGGGCGCCGGTAATCCCAGCTACTCGGGAGGCTGAGACAGGAGAATGGTGTGAACCGGGAGGCGGAGCTTGCAGTGAGCCCAGATGGTGTCACTGTACTCCAGCCTGGGCGAAAGAAGGAGACTCCGTCTCAAAAAAAAAAAAAAAAAAACGGAGTTCTGTGACAGCAGGGACCTTGTTTGACCAGTTGACACCTGTGACCTTGGCACCTAGACTAGTGAAGGCCATATAAGGGCCTATGGGAAATATTCTGCAAGTAAAAACTAATCCCGTAAAATGATTAAAAGTTGCTCCAACAACAAAGCACTTGTCCTTTTAGAGGAAACTTTCTATTAAAAAGATGATTTTCAAATGTAAACAAAAACAGAATAGTATAACAAGTCCTCATATCAGCAGTTACCAAGTTATTGCCACAGTTGCTTTATCTAATTGTTTATTTTCCTGAAGTATATATATTAAAGCAAAATTCCAGGTCTCTTGTCATTATATAATTATTATTCCATTGTCACACTTTGTAAAATTAACAATTATTTCTTAGTATCATCTTATACCCAATCCATTTTCACATTTGCCCAGTTGTATAAAAAAAATCTCATTTTAGACTTAATTTGTTCAAATCTGGATATATGCAAGGTCCATCCATTGCATTTGATATGTCTCTTAAGTCTAAATACGGACGTACTTGTCCCTTTACTTATTGAAGAGCCTCGATAAATTGTCCTAAGTCCCACATTCTAGATTTGTCTCTTTGCCATTTCATGATGTAATTTAACTTGTGTCTCTATCCCTCTCTCTCATTTCTTGTAAACTAGAAGTTGGTTCAGAAGTTTAATTAGATTCAGGTTATATTTTATGGGAAGATTCTTCGTAGGTGCTATTGTGTAGGAATCTCACTCTTGATATTTAAACTCATGATTTAAAAATGTAAAAAGGTAGTTCCCAATAAGTATTTGAAGTGTACAAATTCTCCCTAGCTCTTTGAAAGTTATTGAAAATGTTTTAAGACTAAAAAGAAAAATAATGAACAAAACTAAATTAAAGTCAGTTGTTATTGTTGTCCACTGTGTCCTGAACCCCACCTCTGCCTTTTATTCTACTTAAATATTAGACCTAGTTTAGGTAATCTAAACTAGACATGTGAATTCCTAGATGATTTCTTTTATCTATTGCTGACCACAAGAGGGCATCCAGTGAACATGTTCTAAGCATTCTTCCATTGTCGTCTTATGTATAATAGACATAAAACTGAGGAATCGCCTCCCACTCATAGGTGGGAATTGAACAATGAGAACACTTGGACACAGGGTGGGGAACATCACACACCGGGGCCTGTCGTGGGGTGGGGGGAGGGGGGAAGGATAGCATTAGGAGATATACCTAATGTAAATGACAAGTTAACGGGTGCAGCACACCAACATGGCACATGTATACATATGTAACAAACCTGCACGTTGTGCACATGTACCCTAGAACTTAAAGTATAATACAAAAAGAAAAAAAGGGCTCAAATCAGCCTGCCCTTGTTTGATTGTCCAAATCACCTATATTATGATTTTTATTAAAAACTTAATGAATTTTAAATATACAGTCTGTATACCCAAGTAAAAGATTAGAACCAAGCATGATAAAGTGTCACTCCAGAGATAACTTGCCAGATTTAAAGGGGAAAACCTACCTTTACAATGGAGAAATCTGGCCATCACCACTACTTTAACCAAATGATCAAACATAGTGTTACCCAATAGCAGGATATTTTGAAATTAGATGCCTCCTGAAGTATGCAGGATTACCTACAAAATGTCTTGACTGTAAAAGAAAAGCTGAACCTGAAGGTGACCAAGCCCTTAGACCTTATTCCCAGTGTATAGGAAATACAGGGCAAGAGAGAATCAAATAAAACAGTACCACAATTAGACAAGTCCAGAATGTGCTACAGTTGACAGACTGTCTGGTCTGATCTCATCCTAAAAAGTCAGTGTCATGTAAAAACAAGAAGTTGGAAGGACCAGTCTAGATTAAAAGAGACATAGCCAAATGCAGTGCCGGAAAACTGTTAGATGACTCATGTAGGTATTCCAGTGAAGGCTAGGATGCTGATAATGAAAAGACATTTGAAGAGTTTGAGTAAAATTGTTTCATCAAATGTGAGCAGAAGGCAGCAGTATAGATAGAATATATATTTCCTGAAATGTGATTTTAAATTAAATATATGAAACAAATTTATAGAATTTGATTATTTCATCAGTATACCTGAAGGTTGGTATCTTTAAGTTGGCCAAAACTTTGCTTTTAATCTCATTGGGCAAAATGAGGAATTGCTTTATGATAACTGTCATCTTAAACCAGAGATTTTGTTTCAAATGAACTTTTATTATCTCAATAATAGTGTGTTTTCCTATCTTTTAGATAAAAATGGGTCTGTGGCCGGGCGCGGTGGCTCAAGCCTGTAATCCCAGCACTTTGGGAGGCCGAGATGGGCGGATCACGAGGTCAGGAGATCGAGACCATCCTGGCTAACACGGTGAAACCCCGTCTCTACTAAAAAAATACAAAAATCTAGGAGGGCGCCTGTAGTCTCAGCTACTCGGGAGGCTGAGGCAGCGTAAACCTGGGAGGCAGAGCTTGCAGTGAGCTAAGATCCGGCCACTGCACTCCAGCCCGGGCGACAGAGCGAGTCTCCGTCTCAAAAAAAAAAAAAAAAAAAAAAAAAGGGTCTGTAACTAATTGGGGAGTATTTTTTAAAGTGTGGATGAGGAAACCCATGTTTTAAATGGGCACTAGCCTCATCCACTAATGTTAGTAGGAATGTTCAACAGTGACAAAGCATTTTGAGATTTTTGTTTTTCATCGTTGTAGATTATACTGTAAAAATCATAGCGGAAATGATGAGAGAGATGAAGAAGATGAGGAACGAGAGAGTAAAAGCCGAGGAAAAGTAGAAATTGATCAGCAACAACTAACTCAGCAGCAACTTAATGGAAACTAGGTATGAAAGTTAATTATATGGGATCTGTTGTGAGGATACAATACACACTGATATATACATGTTGAAGTAATGGTATGCAGTAAGATTTTTTTAATCCTATTATGTTTAGTTAAGAGCATGTTACTAAAATGCTGAGGATTTTGTAGGCTTGCATAGTAGTTGTTTTTTTTTTTTTAACTAGCTGATTTTGTAACCGTAAAAACAAGCTATCTGCTTTATCAATAAGTATAGTTGTAATGTCAAATCAATAAGATAATCACACTCCTCAATAACATTATATTGATTGTGTTCCCCTCAAGCATCATATTTTACATTTTTTTATCATCTTTTAAACAGGTTCATGGGACAGAGTTAGAAAACTGGGAATGAATAAGACATCCATAACTACTATTCTTTTTTCACTGTTTTCTAAAATCAAAAAGGGTTTGTAACTTTTTACTGCCCAACTCTTAGATCCTTCATTGAACTGCCTAAAAATGTCTTGTTTGTTTTATGAGCCTTCACTAGAAGGCTGAGTTTGACATGTTGATATTACGTAGCTATAGTTTGCAGTTTCTGGGAAGCAATTGAAACACTATTAACCCTGTGTATAGTGTCAACAGTTAAAGCAGATGAAACAAAGTAAGCTATATTTCTGGACTGAACAAAGTTCTGCTGTTTAGAGTGTTTAAGTTTGTTTAGTGGATCCATACTCAAAGGAAAGCATAAGCAAATTTTCCTTTACAATGCAAACATGCCACTGGTGGCAGCACATGGTAATTTGTGGATTTTTTTTTTCACACTCAAGTAATGGAGGCTAGAAATGAAGAGAACCTTCTTTTTCTCTTGGCTTTAACAGCACATGCTAAAAATCTCTTCCAAGAAGTACGCTAAAGCTTTTCATTTGGTTCCTGTTAAAGTTGTTCTCACTGACCAGCATGGACTCAGGCAACTGCTAATTATAAGCTATGAGCTCCAGTGCTTTTGCCAAAATTCTCTTGACAGCACACCTCCTCTCTTTCCATGTTATACAGAGGACTTCTGGCAAAATGATTGAGTCCTTCAAGTTTAAACTAACATTTGGCAACAGCAAATTAAATGTTTTTAAGATGTAAAGAAAGAGTTACTGCTTGCTAAGGACTTCAGACATCATGTCCGAGACGTGTTCCTCTCAAGTGCCCTGTTGTGTGGAACACTTCCCATACTGGCGCAGAGTACGTAAGGAGGTCTCATGTGCTGTAGGAGTAAAAAAGTCTTTGCATAAAACAGTATTTATTTTTACTTTTGTGACCACTATTTCAGAAACTTTATTTAATATTTTAATGTTTTCAGTCATTGCTTTGGTTATCTATAAAATAGGCTTTTGTGCCCTACTTTTCTTCTTGTAGGGCTTGGTGGTGTTTTATCGATTGTCAGAATTGGTTTTGAAAGCCTAAGAACCCAGCTTTTTAGAAAGGGTTTTCACACTGGCATTTCTAGGTAGTGATATTTTCTTCCACTTACCTGCTGAAGCACATTTATGCATTTCTTTATGGCAAAACCAAATAACTTTAGTTGTGGTCTGCCTGATATTACCATAGCACCTCAATACCAAGGGAAGGGATTTTGACTAGTTGAATTATTAAGCCACCACAATAAAGCAGATTTTTAAATAAGGAATAATCATGTTAACTTGACTGTACATTGAGATATTCTACATCTGATAGAGCAGCATTTTAAAAATGTAACAGGTGGAAAATTACACTGTGCTTAATGACTGCTTTTTTTAAAAACTGTGAGTCCCTTAAAGTCATGTTTGTCAAGTGTGTATTCACACATTTACTTAAATCAAGGGACTCAATGCTTGCTTTTATTTTAACCATCTTTTACTATTTTTAGAAGGAAACTAGCTTTAGTAGTGGGTTGCCCTGTATGTTTTCTCTTTTTGCTCTTAATATGCCATTGGGTTTTTGTGTGTATGTGATTTTCAAAATTCATGACTTGAAGTGCAAGGACAGATCTAGCTGTTTGTTTACCAAGCTATGTGACTTCTCCCAAAGGATCTGTACTTTCTTTCCTTACAACAGCTTGAAAATCATTATTTTAAAATCCTTAAATCACTGTGTCTAGATCATTTTTTACATTGTGTGCCATAGACTTACCCATGGGACAACAGAGCTCCTTCATTTTTGAACAACTACTGTAATCATTTTTTTTTTTTTTTAGGAAAAATGGAAGGTGCCAGGGGTAATCATGGCCAGTCAATAATTATATAAAGGAGTTCAAATACTATAGCTGTCAGTTGATGAATTTGTTATGTAGTAAAATGTATGACTTTGTATGGGTTTCTTCAGCCCTTTTTCTGCCACTAGCAACCAGAATAGCACTTTACCTTTTGGTTGGCTAGATAAGTGGCTGACTACCTGTTTTTCTCACTGTGGTGTGATTGGCTAAACAATCTTGCATTAAAAATTCAAATGTAAATTGAATTCACATGAAAAATCATGTTTGGTTGTAAACCTCCAATGTTTTGATTCTCTAATCATGTTTTCGTCACATGCTGAGTAAAAGTGCCTTACAATGTAAAAATTGTACAGTACTTATGTTCCCAAGTAGCATCATCATCTTCTGGGTAGTAATTACATTGTGGTATTAATATTTAGAAAAATGGACCTCAGCAGTGTATTTACTGTACATCTCTTAAGTCTTTAACTGTAGTTTTAATAAGCATGACATTATTTGATAAGTATATAACATTTACATCATTTCAAAAAATACTGCCGTTACTGTCTTTTATGCATATTTTAGCCTGAAATTTTGAAGCGTCTTTTTTCTTTCTTTCTTTTTTCTTTTATTGTTTTGTTTTTTGTTATTGATATTAAACAGTGTAATCTTTGCAAGCGTATATTGAAGATTATTCTGGAGCATTTATTGCCTTACCAGAAATGTTAGTAGGAAATGTTCTTTAGAGTAGAAAGATAGACTTGAGTTTCTATACTTTTAATAAGAGCTCTTTGTTCCTGGCGGGGAGGGGGGTAGGGGGTGAATTTTACTTTCATCTCAAGTTATTAAAAACCCACAACTGAGGTAAATTTTATTTCAAGGATCAGCAGTTTTAGAATTTCAGATAGTACTTGCTCAGAAGTACATGCTACTCAAGATATTAAGAGATAACAAGATCTGTAGATCTGCTATTGAATCAGAATCTGTGTACTTGAACAAATGTGTGAATCTCAAGTATCTCAAAGCAAAAGAAAAAGTGTTTCTAGAGTGTTGTTGCTTTTTAAAAAAAGCACTAAAGTTAGACCAAGGTATACAGTTTTGTTCTAACAGACATTTAGGTTAATTGTAAAGATAAGGAATGCATTATGGGTCAAAAATCAAACATTCCTCTCATGTTATGTATATTTTGTTCCTGTTATATTGGCTTTATTTTCAAAATTGTAGTTTGTAGTATTAGTTTCCTTTTATTGGTATTCTTGCATATACTATTCATTCAATAAATGACTTATGACTTTCATATTTGTTTGTCTTTTTTGTGAAAGTGTATACTGAAGCTTATTTGATAACAGCAATAGTATTGTGTTCCTTTTAATCTTGCTTTATTTCAGAGTAAAATGCCTAGCTTAATAACTTTTCATTAAACAAGTGTGGGAGAAAAAAAATTGTGAATTTGAATTCAGTTCAAAGTTTCACAATATAAAGGTTTTATCATGAAGAGAAACTGCAATCTTGTAAGTACAATCGAACTGCATTACATCTTGGTTTTTTTATTACATGGTTCAGATACTCATAGTTTAAATCAGATCCTCTGGAACCTAGTTAGAAGGTTATTTTGAAAATAAACCAAAACTCCTAGTACAATTTATCAGATTGGTTATATGGGTACAGGATTAATATCCTTGTCATTGTCATAAAGGGATTTTACCTTATATCTTTAAATGTACTCCCATTACCATGGACAGTGTGCTTCTAGTACAGTGCTTATATATTGAGGTTTGTCACATCCCGGGCAGAAATCAAAGTTGTAATTAGTAGGATATGCTCATTCCATACACACAATTCCTAACCTGCAGAGTGGGGGGAAAAAATCAAGTAACATGTTCTAATTAACTCCGGAACATAGGATGGTGTACTTCACTGCCAATGTTACCTAGTAGTGCCTGGCACATATGTGCCTGTGTGTGTTTAAAATCCATTATTAAGTCTCAATTGCCACCAATTTTTAAAGTCTCATTTTAATTGCTATAAAAATATGGAGATGGGGAGTTGTGTGCTATTCTTTAGCTAATTGAAGCTATTTAAGCTGTTATTTTTTTGTTGTTTGTTTGTTTTTCCAACTGCAGTCGCCAGCAGTTGCTAAAGTTCCTCCAAAGGATGGGCCTGGTAGAATTTCTTAGGAAAATTCTCTAGCCAGCAGATGGCTAGTTTATCTTTTTAAGAGAAAAACCCAATCCCTTTTATATTTTTATATTAGACTAAGTCCTCAGTTGTGTAGGCAAAATGCTGCTTTATACATCAACCAATGTTACATAATACTGCCTTGTTCAAATAATGAGGTAACTGAATATTAATGATGTAAAGCAAAAATGTATTTGTGATTTTTATTCAGAAGATGAAAGCTATAAAATAACCAATTACTATATAAGTTAATGGTGGCATTTGGAAAGTGTTACACGATAGCAGACATGATCTACACATGGTCAGTGTACTGAAGTCAGTCAACCAGACCTGCATCCTTGTCAAAAGACAGCAGATCCATAAACATCCAAATGATACCTTTGCCTATACCTCTCAGTGGCTATAAGTGGGTTTTTATGCTAGTGGTCGGGCAGTGGTGGGGAGGCAGGGAAAATAAAATGCAGCTGGGCAAAGAGCTAGCTAGCTCTACTGTGTGAACAATAATATTCCAATGAAAACAAGAGTACTGTTTGAGTGGGTAACCTTTTAAATGGAACCTGAGAGACTAGATAATGAAGACAGTATTAGGAGTTGGGAGACAGAAACTGCACTTTAATATGGAGACTGGATTTAGAGTTTTTGTTGAGTTTCTATAAAGTAATTGGTACAGAAGGGTAAGTTGTTTCTGAGTATTTTAAAAATCAGACCTGTTTACAGATTTTGTATTAAAGTAATATATAGTCATAAAAAGGAATGAATTACTGATACATATGCCAATGTGTATGAGCCTGGAAAATATGCCAGGCACAGAGGTCACATATTGTATGATTCCATTTATATGAATTGTTCAGAGAGGCAAATCCATAGAGATGGAATACAGATTAGTGGTTCCCAGGGACTGCAAACATGGGAGAATGAGGAATGACTATTATGGGGTATACTGTTTCTTTTTGGGGGTGGTGAAATGTGGAATTAGGTAGTGGTTAATGGCTGCACGACTTTGTGAATGTACTAAAAATCATAAATTATACCCTTTAAAAAGAGTGGATTTTTTTTTAATTATTTTTTTTTTTTGAGATGGAGTTTCACTCTTGTTGCCCAGGCTGGAGTGCAATGGCACGATCTCTGCTCAGCACAACTTCTGCCTCCCAGGTTCAAGCCATTCTCCTGCCTCAGCCTCCCAAGTAGCTGGGATTACAGGCATGCGTGACCACGCCCGGTGAATTTTGTATTTTTTTTTTAGTAGAGACGGGGTTTCTCCATGTTGGTCAGGCTGGTCTCGAACTCCCTACCTCAAGTGATCCACCTGCCTCGGCCTCCCAAAGTGCTTGGATTACAGTCGTGAGCCACCACACCTGGCAAGAGTAGATTTTATGTGAATTTTATCTCAATTTTTAAAGTGCTATGTAGCCATTTTACAAAATTAAAATACAAAGGTATATGAAGCAAAATGTGAAAATCTCCCCTTCTGTACAAGCCTACTCCCTAGAAGTATTTGATACATAGTCTTCTAAATGCTTCTGTACATATATAACAAACACTTCTTTTACATAAATAGAATCATGCATAACACAAATAGAATCATGCATAAAAAAAGAATATTTTTTACCATAAATAGAATCATACCTACAGTTCTGCACCTCATCTTTTTTACTTGAACAATATTACAAGGTGTCAGTACATCTAGATTTCTCAATTTTTTTTTTTTTTTTTTTTTTTTTAGTAGCTCCATGGTATTTCAGTGTATGGATGAACTGGAATTGTTCTCTCCAGCCTTACATATATTCTTTATGCAAGTAATTTCTTAGAATAAATTTCCAGAAGTAGAACTGCTAAGTCAAGGGTATGTACATTTAAAGTTTTGATAAAAATTGCCAACCAGGGCCGGGCGCGGTGGCTCACGCCTGTAATCCCAGCACTTCAGGAGGCCAAGGTGGGCGGATCATGGGATCAGGAGATTGAGACCATCCTGGCTAACACGGTGAAACCCCGTCTCTACTAAAAATACAAAAAATTCGCCGGGCGTGATGGCGGGCGCCTGTAGTCCCAGCCACTTGGGAGGCTGAGGCAGGAGAATGGTGTGAACCCGGGAGGCGGAGCTTGCAGAGAGCCGAGGTCACGCCACTGCACTCCAGCCTGGGTGACAGAGTGAGACTGCATCTCAAAAAAAAAAAAAAAAAAATTGCCAGCCAGCCCTTTTTGGCTCACATCTGTAATCCCAACACTTTAGGAGGCTGAGGTGGGAAGATCTCCCAGGAGTTCAAGACCAGCCTGGGGAACATAGTGAGAACCCCATCTCTACAAAAAAACAGAAAAAATAGCCGCACGTAGTGGCATGTGCCTGTAGTCTCAGCTGTTCAGGAGGCTCAGGTGGGAGGATCCCTTAAGCCTGGGGAGTCAAGGTTGCAGTGAGCCGTGTTGGCTCCATGGCATGCCAGCCTGGGCAACAGAGCAAGACTCTATATCAAAAAAAAAAAAAAAAAAAAAAAAAAATTACCCATCCATTCTAGGGATTAAGCTGTGTCCATTTCTCCACTCCAGAAGAGTGCTTTTAAGTGTGGTGCCTTTAAGTGTTTTTTAAGAAAAAAACACACACTCCAGAAAATTCTATGGGGTTTGATTGTATTGTAAAACCCATATAGACTATATCTGAAAGTGACATATGAATCATCTTCGGGAAATGGAGCACTACATTTCGTTTGTGAAAAGGCTAAATTGAAAAGTTTATTTCATATGTATTAACAGCAGTAACTGGTGAATCACTTCCCTTCCTGCTTTCTGAAAAGTAACAGATTGCTCATCACTGTCTATTGTTTCCAGATGGACCTGCCCTGTGTCCAGAGTCATATGTAGCTCAGTTCAGGACACCTGAAGGCGCTGTGTACTGTTTTGTTGAAGAACTCCTATGACCTTTATCTGTCATGTGATGATTCTTATTCCCAAAATTATGACTGTGCCTAACAAGTGGTCAGTACGTGAAACAAGATGAAATCATCTGAAGTTTTCACTTCATGTAGTTGTTTTGTCCTTTTATGAATAAAATCTAAGCCTAATCAGAAAAATTGTCATGATGCTTTTAGCTCATTTGCCAAAAATGAGCTATTATTTTTATCATTTAGCAATTTCAAGCAACAGTTACCTGCATGTCTGAAAATAAATTGGTAAAAATAACATGGATACTGAATTATGCTGGTTAGTCAGCATGGGAGTTTTAAAATAAAGAATAAATTGAATGTAGTGAAGGATGAATTAATGCTACATGAAAATTAGTTTTTTCTAATTCTCAAAATCACATTTGGTGCTAATTAGTATTTATAACATTAGCCAAACAACAATTTTATTGAAAAAGGTTTGTAACTTAGAACTGTACCAATCATGGAGACTGCTGTTATTTTTATTTCAGAGGCTAGCCAGACAATTTAACACAAAGGCTTATTTTCAAACGTTCCTGATCCTTAAGCCCAATAGGCTTATGTTCTATATTTAGTATTGATTTAGTATTACCAGGAAGCAATAATTCTTTGGACCCTGTTCTCATATGTTCCTGGTTAGAGAGCAAGCACGAAAGATAAGCAGTTTCTGAAAGGACAGATCAAAGAGCTGGAATTTTGGCATTATCCTCAAATACAGCATTCTTTCTGGACATCCCTTAGAAGAATTGTTATTAAGCGCTTCAACCTATTCCATGTGCCCAAACAGCTTAGGGGAGCTAGCCAGTGTGCTGGGGATGCCGGGGGAGAAAAAAGCGTTAAAGAAAACATATGTTGCTTAGCAAAGAGTCAGGGGAGGAGAGAAAAACTTTAGGCAGCCTCTACTGTGGTCTTTGGAGCATTTAATAACTGGGGACACACCACTGCATGAAACTTGGAAATGCACCCTACAGTTTATAGGCCACTTCCTAGAAAGATTTATGCAAAACTTCAAACAGTCACAACTTTATTCTTTTTTTCCTTTGATGCCCTCTGGGAAACCCTCTTTCCTTAGTTCCCGTATCTGTACCACCCCTTCAAGACCACTCCTTTTTTGACTCTTCTCCCTACCCCTAACATAAGTGTCACCTGGTTCTAGTCTTTGCCATCTTGGATTATTCTTCCCTATCACCACGATCTGCTTACAGGT